AAAATCAGAATCTATGCTCGAAACATTTGCATTTTTACACGTAATTGAGAATTGCATGTAATACTGAAATAAATATTGTTCAACAACCGCGTGAGCTTTTATTGGCTACTTTGTTTCTTTTCATTAATTTATTTTCATTACACATATTTCGTTATTTCTCTGCTACACTCGATTGATTAATACTTTTGATGAATTTCAACACGTGTTTTAATTGATATAAATTAATATTCATTTCTATCTCAATGTAGATTAATGTTGTCATGTATTCTCTAGAATATGCTAATCAGTAATACTTATTGTAGCAATAAAACTGGATCGAGGAATTCTATTTTTCTGAAATTTCACTGAAAAGTGTTTCAAAACGAAGAACAATTTCAGCGACATGTCAATGAAATTTCAACGAAATTTCAGCGAAATTTTTCCATCAAGGCTGTGAACAACATTATTTCCCAATACTGGCGAAATATTGGAAAACAATGTACCGATATCAAACATTTGATAAAAATTCAATCTTCAATATTGGTCCAATATTGTTGAACCAATACTGGCTAAATATGATTAAGCATCTACAATACTGCTTACAGCATTGGATCAATATCGGGGTTTCAATTCTTATCCAATGTTTAATATTAGTTGTACATTGTTTCCCAATACTGCGTCAGTACGTTGTACTATTAGGGTTAACTTTAGTCTCGGTTTTATCTTTTCACCCATTATTATTAATTTTACAATATCAATACTTACATTTCTACCAATGTACATTAACTTTAATCTCAGTTTTATTTACACTTTATCTTTTTCTAATTCTTAGAACTGAAAAAAAATACAAAAGGTAAGTTAAACCGAGATTAAGATTAATCTAAATTGGTAGAAATGGACATAAGTCATAATTCTTGCGGATTTCGGCACAGGATCCTGTGGTGCCGCAAGAACAGGATTTCCTCTACCAAATTCTCTTTTGAGCTTTGACAATTAATTCTTTCCGCCGTCAAATGCGGTTTTCCGTTTCGACGGTTTTAAATTTCGTCTTAAAGCTGATCATTTCTTGATTAATGATAAACGAAGAGAATGTATAATGTATTAGATAATTCAGTTAAGTGGAATAATAGAAAGCGTGGTAAATTGCATAAATTAGATTAATCAAATTTCGCCGTGAGTCCAAAAGCAAAAGGTGTTCAAAGGTCTGTTTAATCGATAATCGACTGCGGTATCCTGGCAACCAAACGGACGCGTTTATCAATTTTGGCTCCTATCGGTTGCACACTGTGCCGCACATTCGATATACGAGAGCTCATCTCCTCTACAGGCACTTAAACATTGGAAGTGAAGTGTTTGTAAACGATGGGTAATACCGAGAGCAATGTTGCAAGCAGCGTAAAGAAACAAACGGATACATCGTCCATCCTGCTGTATAAATTAGTCGACTTGAAGGGTGAGCGAAATAATCAAACGTACAATATAGTAATCAATTTATTTATTTAATTTTCACAATTAAAATGAGTTTATCTGTGAGAATAAAATAAAATAATTACTAATACAATTAATAATGAAATGAGTACAATTCGCCAAATATATATAGTATGAAAATGAATGAGTATTACATCTACTTTGTTTTACACTTGAAATATACGAGCGAAAAAATGAAAGCGCAGCATCTGCCGATTTCTGACGTACATTTCGCGTTGTCAGCGTATATTGGCTGCCCCCGACGAAAGCTAGCTTTTGACGCGGCTTTCGTGGTTTGCAACGACGAAGAATATGACATGTCGGGCAAAACGAAGGCACATAAATAGAGTTACGTTTGGCAGAGCAGATTCAGCAACATGCCAAACGTTCTCGCGGTCTTTGGAAGACCCGTCGTTAAAATCGATGGCTTTCGTCATTCACCATTATTTACGGCGAGTAACAAAAGAGATCACTGTCATTATCAACGACTGCGCTGTAAAAATCGAACGACACATACAGAATGTGAACACGAGATGTATACAAAAAGGACAGTTTTGTTGAATTTAAAAATGTACCTAAATGCAAATTTGTAAATAATTTTATTATGAAAATAATTATATTAGAAAAATTGATTATATCAATTTAATTCTTCCATATAAATATTTTTATTATATGTATCTAATTAAATTTTTAGTTATTTCAACAAAATCGTTCTTTCGTCATATATGACTTGTTCGCAAAAATTCCGATGTAACGATTGCACTCACGGAAGAAAAGATCCGATTAGATCGCATGAGGAATATTATTTATCATCACTTTCTCCTCGTTCGACGTCGAGGGCTCGTCCAAGTGTTCCATAATCTCCGGATTGTCCGAACCGAAGGAGGTCTGTATGCTATACTTTCCCATCTCGGCTTCGAACAGGATGTTGTTTATCTGATGCTGTGCGACGAGTCTTGCACGCACGTCCGCTATATTCTTCAGCCGAATAGCGACGTGCTCGGCAAAAACCGTAAATTCGTCACGACCTGACGGAGTCTCCTGAAATCGTGGAAAGAAAAAGTGACATCGGTTGTGAACCGAGGACCTTTACAAGGTCGTGTAGATCAAAAGTTTACAACGTGACACGTATACCATATCGGTTAAGAGGTCTCGAGAACTCCCTTTACAATGTTATATATACATATTATTGTAATAATGCGCTACGTCACAGTTTTTATAATATAATCCGGTAAACATCAACTAACAATAATATTATGTCAATGTTATAATTTCTCATTCAACAATATAAATGTAATATAACACATGTTATAACGTAATACATTGTTCAATAAGAAAATTATAATGTTGATGTAATGTTACTGTTAGTTGGTATTTATTAGAAATTAATACATAAAAAAATTGAAATATACCTGCTGCTTCCAATTAGAGGTGGGTACGGGATTCTAAAAGGAAGACATCGTGAATTAATTAAACACATATGATCCCATTTCGTGAGTAGCGAAGTAACGTGGTTCGCGACATTATTAAAAAAAATTAACTGTAAGGAAAGAATAGTTTTGCTGAAGTGTTTAAAAATTCAGTTAGATAAAAATATAAAAATAAATTTTTTGACAAATTAACATTATATTTAACAAAGCTCCAATAAATAACAATTTAAAATATGTCATTGCGAGGAGCTATGTAAGCTTAGCTAGCTGCGTTGATTTTTAAATCAGAATCGTGCAAATATTATACCTAAACAATATTTAAACTTTTCGATCTTCAATAATAACGGTTCTCCTCAGTAAATATATATTATAATATAAATTATATTAATTACAATAATTTTACTGTTGATATAATCCTCTTCTCTTGTAACAATTATAAAATGAAATTCTTTATAATCTTGAAATATATATCCTTGCTTATAGAAAATACCACATAAATTTTGTTGAACCATCAAAATAATTATGTAGAACGTTGAAACTGATTGCTAAAATGTTAAAAATATTCACAGCATTGCTCATCATGCTTGAGATCCTATATAATTATTTCAAATCTGTATTTTTAGATGTTTCAGCAAAATCGTTCTTTCCATGTAAAGAGCTTAATTTTTAAATTTTAAGAGTGACAGTTCACTCTTCAAAGTGAAATTTATTCTAAAAAGTTTTCACTCTAAAAGAGTATACTAATTTTAATTTTAATTATATTAAATACCGTCAACCTATTCTAATTTTACGAAAGGGGATCGTGGGAATATTCACAAGAGATCGTGGCGCACCTGCTTTTCCACGTTCGGCGTCTCGCGATTGATTCGCAGCAAGCGCCCTTTATTCAGGAAAGTCAAGGCCTCGTAAGCGAACCACTTGGGCTTGATGACACTGCCAGGATTCGAATCAGCCTTGAGCCTGCGTTTCGCGTACGCTTTATGGACCGACATGAAGTGAGTCTTCAGGCTCTTCAGTTTCCTCTCCACCGTCATCACGTCGCATCCGAGCTGACAAGTGCAAACCCCAATGAGATAAGAGCGCGCCGTACGTTTCTTGTTTTCATTAATTTTTTTCTCTCTTTTTGACATTCACGTCATATCGCGAGAATACGCTCACCAACGGTGGATACGAAGGCGTTACGCAATCCGGTAATAAATAAGCGAAGCGTGGATGCTTTTTGCGCGAAACCGTTACGCAAACGCGGTTTCTATGCAACGCGAGAAATTCACTTTCCGTTTACAACCGGCGCGGCGGCGGCTAAAGACTCTCCGTGCGCTCGCGATGCGCCAGCATTGCGCAACGGCTTGCGCAAGTGTTGGACGCGCGCGTCTGGAATACACTCGCAAGATGTATTTTGCACCCGGCCTAGCGTGCTTCTGCCGGCACGTGCGTGCATCATGAATTGCGTGATACAAGAACGCGAAAAATAGCTATCAAAATGAAACGCTCTTTTTTTTGTTAATTAAAAATTATCGATCTGTTATTTAGTTATAACGCAACTCTATAAAACATGCATTGCCCTTTTCCTTTTTCTCTTTAATTTAATTTTTTTGTTTGTTAATTTATAATACACATCCAGATGCATTTTTTAAAAAATTCGAATTTAATTTCTACGCGTTGAAATATAACGTTATTAAATTTCCGTGATATTTAAGATCGATTTTCGCGATGTGAAAAATTAAACTTAAACGAATGTTTATGTTGACTCGTTTAAGAAGGACGCGTGTAAGTTATAGTTTTACGAGCACGGGGTTTAACTTATATGAGATTGGACTGGCGCACCTCGTCGGCGATTTCCTTCCACGCGTAGATTCTCTTGCTTCGATCAGTATAGTCCGGCGCATTGTGATCCCAGAGCAGCCGCCTCGCGCGATATGCACCGATCAGCTTCAATATCGTCTCCTGTCTCCACTGCGCCATGATGCGCCGTATTGGCCGCACCGTGCCACGTTTAATCACTGACAGTAACCGCGACGGAGATCCCGGCCGCTCGCTCTTCCCACAGACTTGCGCCAGCAATTGCCGCGACGGTGCATGCAATACTTGTACCAGACTGTACAAGATGGCGTTGCATGTGCTCCGATGTGCCGACGACCTCTTCCGCCGTCCCACCATGAATTTCACACGTCAAACCAAAGTTAGAGTCTTCGGGAAAGTGGGGGAAAAGAATCGCTATCGTATTTTATAGGGGTCTATTTTCTGTAGCTGTGTAACTAGTGTACATTTTTGCAACTTAAAGTGAAATAGATATATATTTGTCAAAAAAAGAAAGTTCTAGTATAGGAATAAAAATATAGACTCTTATATTTTTTTTTCGCCTTTAACTTCTTTCATGAGAAATCACATCGAAAAATGATTAATTTTTATATAGTGTAGAAAATATCTTTTAATAGAAAAGAATTATCTATTCAAAACAAATTACTCTCTCTCTAATCACAATTATAAATCACAAATCAATTAAAATTGTAAGTTTATGTAATAATTGTAAGTTTATAAATTGTAAGTTTATAAATATAAAATATAACTTTAGATAAAAATACAGCACGATCAGGTGTTTATGGAATTTATATGAGATATTGAGAGAAATAATTAAAGTTTTTAGGATATAGAAGGAAATGTGTATGTGTGTGTGTGTCTTTCCTATTTTAATTTCTTTAATTATATGCACTCTGATAGCACTTATCAGTTACGTGGCGCCGAATGTTCTTAAAGTGTTCTTTTTCTCATTTCTGGATGTGTCGACAGCGCTGTATACAAGAATCTTATTAAGGTTGGCAGACTAGGATAACACTGTTTATATTACTGTATTTTATTCCTGTTAGTGTGCTTTTGTATTTAAATAAATTATAAAAAATATTAGCACAAATAAAACATTATTTTTTATTAAGTTAAATTTTATTATATATGTGATACCAAGTATAATAATAGGTTCTTTTAACTATTAAAATATAAACATTTTTTGAAAGATATATAAAAAAATTTATATGAGAGTCTAGTAATATACCATAAGATTTTAAGCTTGTCTCTATTAATGTATCCTATATTATACAGAACTTAGAACTGAGAGAGAGAGAGAGAGTGTCATTAAGCGTCATGAGTGTACATTGTACATTGAAACTGTATATAAGTATAATTAAAATAATAAGCAATATTAATTTGAACAATTAGCTTACATCTATTATCTCTTTGTTATGCTCATACAAATTGAGGGCACATTAATAAGGGCTCCTTGAAGACAAAAACATCTCTATTTTTATCAAAATCATCGTAAAATATTAACATTTTTTTATTAACAAATATTACAAGAAAAAGAAATATTAAAAAACTGATATTGATTTCAAGCAGACAAAATTAAAGCTATAATATTTAATAATTAATTCAATAATGAGAAAGTTGTCTTAAAGGCACACTAATAGGGATTCTAATTGTAATTTAATATTTGTAATATTGTATAATTATATAATTATTTATTGATACTAATAACTAAATAATACTTAATTAGTCGAAAACTTGCCTTTGTTCTGTCAAGTTTCTCACTCCTTGAAATTCCAGTCTAGCTCCTACCTACAGAATACTATACACTTTTCGAAAGGACGTCTTGAGGATGTAGAACGTCTTTAAGATGTAGAACGTCTTTAAGATGTAGAACGTCCTCTGGACATTCTTAGGACATCTTTTAAAGAACTGTGTGGGCACCTGTCGCGTACACGATTCTCAAGATTTATCTTTTTGAAATTCAGTTGCTCCGTAAGTTGCATGATGACAATATGACTAATAAACTTATGCGTATAACTGGACTTGAAGAATAAAATTAAATCCGTTAAAGATCAAAGTGTTAAAAGTAGAACAATTTATTTAAAGAAACGAGGACTATAATGAAAGTGTAGACGTGGTAATTAATTTATAAAAATATCCTTCATTTACAATACAGTTAAACGTTTCGACTTCACTTTAATCCTCAGAACAATTTATTATAATGTTTGTTCGTGAATGAGTTAAGTTTTTTTCTGTAAACCAAGTCCCCCCTTCTTGGCTGTATATGCTGAAGTGTAAATAAATTCTATTCTCTATAATGTTTGTTCGTCTCAATCGGTACTTATAATTTATTTATAATCAGTTCATAGTCTGAATATGCATGTTTTGTTTGATTTCTTGTGTATAAAATGAGAGGAGCAAACGCATATTTATGCACATTGCTCCCGAAGCAAAGAATGATTCCGCAAATATAATTTATTATGCAAGTTGTGAATACAACCGCTACAAAGCCTTATTTGTTACTTCTAAAGTAGGACTTGCATGACTAATTGTAAGTTATGTTGTTACAATATTTTCACGGATCTGTTTTGTAAGAGATAAAATAGAAGATCATGATTTTATTTTTTTGGTTCAAAGTACGACCGATTCAATGTCAATCCTGTTGGAATCAGTACAGTGTGCGTCGTCGTGTCATTGACTCGCATAAAAATTAAAACTGAAAATGGTTAACAAATAGATCAAAACAATAAATTAAAAAACAAACGAATTTTTCATCATTTCATTCATTGTTGAACACATTTACAATAATATTTTTAATAATTATAACAATTATATCAACAATTATACATTTGTACCGATGAGATATTGTTTCATGCCTAGATACCGAAAATAAAATTCTAATTGAAGTTCTAAGACCGAGTTACTGTGACAATAACCGATTAAGCGCTGTGTTGTTCGAAGAAAAAAAAAGGGACCGATAGTTTCATGGTCTTCCCAGATCTTCTCTCGCAATATTCTCTAGGAAAATAGAAAATTCAATCAAAAATGACTTTATTTTGATTCTTAATGTCGATAAACAGTCAAATTTTGTAACCACACTGAAAAAAAAAATTGGCTG